TGGGGGAAGAATACTTATTATCCATTGCCTTGTGTTGTTAGTCTCCTTTGACAAAGAGATGATGGAGCCATCTGAGGATCATCTAGCCTAGTGAGGAGATCCCATTGTGCCTTTAACCAGAATTTTGTAGCCCCTTCAATTGCAGTAAGCTGGCTGAATTGTACATTGGTTTAGGTATCTGGTTGTGGAGCCAGAGGTTGGGAGTTCAAATTGCCACTGTGCCTCCTAGGGGAAGAGCTAGCCTGCGTGGCCTTGGGTAAGCTGCATAGTCCCAGAAAAAAGGGAATGGTAAAAAAGACATGAGAAAATGGGAATATTTTGCTAGTGTGGCCACAGCTGAGATATTTTAGCAGTCTTTTGCCAGTTCCACACCCCCAGTGATTTTTCATGGTAGACCAGTGATTTGAACCCAGGCTTTCTGATTCCTAGACCATCATTCTATCTACTGCACTACATTGGTATCTCAAACAGAAGCTTACCGCATGTCAATAAATACTATAGTACTTAATTGGAAATTGATTTATGTTTATTCATTTGTTATATTTATATCTTATTATTGTTGTTTAGTCATTAAGTTGTGTCCGACTCTTGGTGACCTCAGGCCCTCCTGTCTTCCACTGCCTCCCAGAATTTGGTCAAATTCATGTTGGTAGCTTTGATGATACTATCCAACCATCTAGTCTGCTGCTGTCCCCTTCTTCTCTTGCCTTCACTCTTTCCCAACATCAGAGTCTTTTCCAGAGAGATTTCTCTTCTCATGAGATGACCAAAGTATTGAAGCCTCAGCTTCAGGATCTGTCCTTCCAGTGAGCACTCAGGGTTGATTTCCTTCAGAATGGATAGGTTTGTTCTCTATGCAGTCCAGGGGACTCTCAAGAATTGGCTCCAGCACCACAATTCCAAAGCATCAATTCTTCGGCAGTCAGCCTTTTTAATGGTCCAGCTCTCACTTCCATACATCACTACTGGAAAAACCATAGCTTTGACTATGCGGACCTTTGTCAGCATAGTCTCAGCGTCTCTCTTATATCTTAGCTTCTTTCAAAGTAGCTTAAGGTCTCTCCAGTTTCTGTTCTCACAATGTCTCTGTGAATTTGGTTAAGCTGAGAGATGAGTGACTAGTCTGCAGTCATCTAATGAATGCTGTGGCTGAGTGGGAATTTGAACCTGGATTGCCCCAGCCCTAGTCAAACACTATGACCGCTATATCATAGCGGCAGCCTAGTTTTGGTAGTGTACTTGTTACATATAGCACTGATACTTTGCCCATATGTTCTTCTCTTAAAGCAGCCTGAAAATTATCTCAATGTGGGCATCATGTTTGCAAGAAATGGAATTCTTTCTAGATGAGAAGTAAACTGCTAGAAAGCAACGATTAATAACTGAACTGCTGAACCAGTGTTAATTTTAGTTGCAACAAATGATCCATTATTATTGCCTATTTTAAGTGAATCTTCCATTAAGGTCAAAGTAGGTTATTTCTCTCTCTAAAGAAATTAAATAAGCCTTACTTAGCAAGAAGAATAATCCCCTTTGGGTATAAATACAACCAGCCTTTCTCCTAAAGTAAGCCTTTACTCTTGTCACTAGTTTTATAGAAAATATTGAAGGAAAAGCCGTTTGCTTACCCACAAGGGAGTAAAGAAATTAAATCAAGGCATAGCCTCCTGATCTTTAAGTGACCATTAAAAAATCAACATCCTGAACTCCTTAGGCTCATTTGCAAGCAGATGCAATTGAAATTGCAATTCAGCAAGCTAATGCTCACTTAACGTCCTTGCATTCTTTTATTCATGTGAGCTTTTCCATGAGTAAAATATGTGAAATTTCATAGAAATGGGGTGCAATAAACCTAAGTGCTATTCCAGCACTCTGGCTGTTCTTTGTGTACCATATTGGGTAGATGTGCGGCTCTAATGAGCACATCCTTTGTTTTTAAATAATAAAAGTGGCTTCATATGCTTTCAGCTGGGAATGAATAGAGGGAGACTGTTGATATTGGCAATAATAGAAATTGTTATGTCAGGTCTTGTGTACCACCCACAGGTTGTAAGTAATTTCATATTTGAGGGAACAACAAGAGAATGAGCATATTGTAGCATTTTCTCATTCCAGTATTTTACATGTATCAGAATTTGTAAGCCAAAATCAAACCCTGGTATTGTAAAGAATACAAAAAAAAAGGCTTCTAATTTAGATAATATGCTGAGAACCGTGCTACATTTCTGATTAATTTGTTCTATGTGAATGCAGCATATGGGGCTTTCCTATTAGTTCCCTTTGAGGTGTTGATCTTCTTTAAAAGTTAAAAACTGGCTGGATAGCTCAGTGGTTTAGTTATCTGCCTGCGAAGGCAAAAGTTGTCAGTTTGATTCCCCACTGTGCTTCCTGGGAGAAGAGCCAGGCGATAAAGCCTTGGAGAAGCTGCGCAGTCCCGGAGTGCCCCCAGAAGAGAATGGTAAACCTGTGCATTTTTACCTAGAAAACCCTGGCAAAGGTTATCATAAATCAGAAATGACTTGATAGCATGCAATTATTATTATTAAATGATTAAAAACCTATACAGTGTAAGTCACTTTGGGTCATTTCAAAGAAAAAGGAGGGTAACTGTATTATTAAATGATAAAAACCTATACAGTGTAAGTCGCCTTGGGTCATTTCAAAGAAAAAGGAGGGTAAAAATATTTTAAATAAATCAATACAAGTGTTGCCTTATTTTTCTAGTTGATGTGAAAAAGACAGCTGGTTTGTTTGCTTTTAGATTTGTTTCTGCATGAAACAGGCAGAAGAGGTACCTCTATCTAGTTATATCTGTGAATAGGAAATGCTGAAATAAGATCTTTAAATGTGTTTATGAAAGTAAACTGCTTTATAGTTCTACATGTACCTTATGCACTAAATAAATAATCCATAACATGTACAGCATATCAGCTTTTACAGTTCTGAAGCCAAGGCTATGTAAAATGGGAGCTCTGTGATCCATTCACCAGATCGTTTTTAGAAAAGCTAAAATAAGTCCATACAGGAGGTTTAATTGGCTTGAGTCTATGGATCATGAGAGGGTACGGGGGACATCACAGTTTTTCTTGATAGGATACAAAACAATAAGGCACCTGTGTCACAACTATGTTCTCTGTGTGGTGTAGTGGATAGAGTGACAGAATAGGACTCTGGAGAACAGGATTTGAATCCCTGTTCAGCCATGGAAACTCACTGGGGGAATGGAACTGGCAAAAACACTTCACTTACCTTGAAAACCTTGTTAGGGTCATTATAAGTCAGTTCCAACCTAACAGCACATAACAACTATATTTTTCTACTCAAGCGCTTATAATTCCAGTTTTGTGTTCTGAATTTTGGCTGTTACACCCTGCTTTCTGGTAGTTTTGCTTTAATTGAAAGCACAAGCCCCTCCTTCTACTTTAGAGTAAAATTGAAAGATAATTAAAAATGAAGAACAGTGAAGAGACAATTGAGGATCTCATTCATCATGAGTTTCTGTCATGGCCATAAAGCAGAGCCTCTTCTATCAGAGGACGAACTGAGGACCCACAGAAGGAAATATCCTAGCAAGGCTCCTTGAGAGGTGCTCAGGGAACTGGAGTCCCAGAAACCATCTAGTGCTTTCAGCTGCATCAGAACTGTGAAGCTCAATTTCTCAGCACCAAATTCAACCACCTGAATTGGGCCCTACAGGCAAATGTTATTCCAAAAATGAAATAATAAGAGCCATCAAACCAAGAAAACAACACCGAAACGAAGAGGAAAAACAGCCACCCACAAATTAAGTATTTCTGCCATACCTCAAAGGGGTCATGGACCCCATGGGGAAATTTTTGAAAAAACACAACCTACAAACAGTAATCAGGCCCACCACAAAAAAACAACAAATGTTATGGTCAGCAAAGGACAAAAGGGACCCCCTCACCTCTGCAGGAGTATACTACATACCTTGCAGTTGTGGCCAGGTATATATTGGGACCACAAAATGCAGCATCCACATCAGAATCGAAGAATATGAGAGACATTGCAGATTAAAACAACTGGAAAAATCAGCAGTAGCTGAACATGCCCTGAAACAAGCTGGACATGAAATCCTATTTCAAAACACAGATGTACA